AGAGGAGATGTGTAAAGTGTGTCATTCTAAGAGCACACATAATTGCCCATGAGTAACCATGACCAGAGCCTTCTGATCCAGGAATGGGTGCAATTGTTGCACAACACAAAGCTGTGCAAAAACCCTCTTAGCCATTACTGCCACATACTTTTTGATCAGGAGTCACAAGTCTAGGAGGACCTCCAAGTTGCTTACAGGGTTGCTCGGAGCAGTGCAATCTATTCAGTACAAGAGATGGTGCAGTTCTAGAATTAGAAGCCCTCCAAACCCAGAGCCCCCAGTATTACAAGCTTCAACTGAAGCCTGTTGTTCGCAATCCAGATCCCAACAGCCTCCAAGCACCTGGATAGAACATCAACAGTGTGTTTAATTTGCTAGGAGCAGAGGTTGTATAATTGGATATCATCAGCATATTGATCATACCTCACTCGTAGTAACAAATAAAGTTACTCAGTGGCTTCATGTTGATCTTAAAAAGGAATGGAAAAAGCACTGAATCCTGAGGCACTCTCCTCCTCAATTGCCGACTGGTAACAACAGGAAGAAAGACAAGAGGAAACCTGCACAATTCCTGGAGCTGGTCCAGAAGGATAACATGGTCAATGGTATCAAAGGCCATTGAGAAGTAAAACAGAGCGAGGATGGATGCCCAACACCCAAAAACCAGCACCCCAAAAGTATCCACTCAAGGTTATTTTATTCCTCTTTATTTTTCACAATAAAAAACCATTGTGCTCTTTATTCTCCACAATAAAAAAATGTTTTGAAGTTGGATCCACTTTGAGTTCATCATTTAGTTTTGAGGTTTTTCAAACTTCATTGTCTTCTTATTTCTTTCTCCTCTATATGTTGCTTCTTCTTCTGCTGGAATGTCTCCCACAAGGAAGTCTTGCACAGAGTTCTTTTACTGATTAATAGCCTAACTTTCGACTAGTGGCTGCCAAAATTGCCCGCTGCATTTCTTCATACTGTCACTTTCTATGTTGCCTTCAGGATAAAAATGATTGCAGCTTGCACCTACTGAACCTATGCAGTGTGAGTGACAAGTGTGATTAACGTCTGAATCACAAGATTAGAGTGAAAAGCTGTGTACATCATCATCAATTTTATGGAAGAAAGATGCTGTGACAATTTGGCCTCTTTGTTTCCTGAATCTGACATAGTAGTTCTGAAATGGTCCAGAGCCCTCTGGGGTTCCATGTGTCATGGAAATCCTGCCAAAAATAAATCCATTGGGGTTGCAGGGTGGGGTAAGGTATATGTCCATATAAATTGTTCTTTGTAAATTCACAACTTCCAGACTTGTGTAATCACAGCAAGGGTATAATACTTGTGTAGTTTTCACATATTAAAAACATAGGATTCATCTGTTTGTTTATGTTTGTTTGTTTATGTTTTATTAAATTTGTATACCGCCCTACTCCCGAAGGACTCAGGGCGGTGAACAGGCACAGAATAAAACACAGAAATACAAAAGTTAGAAACAATTTAAAACCAAATTAAATAATTTAGCTCAAGACAATTAAAAATCCCAATAATCTCTGTACAAAACATCAGTTCATTTTTATAAGGGGCTCAGATTATAGTCCTGACCCAAAGGAATTCATCCTAATTGTTGTCACTAAAACTGCATGGACAATATTCAGGACCAAACTTTTATCCTCTGTAATCATGTAATGTCTTTAAGGGTTTTTACCATTCTTGACTTCTGGTTGCAACTGGACAGTTCTACTTCTCTCACCCAATCCATCTCATAATTGGGGAAAGAACTGGCTCATCCAGGACTATATCAGCTACAGTGAGATGAGTAATGAGGAAAGAAAGATGCCTGTACTTTCAGGGTGTTTTTTTTTTTTGAGCTTTTTCTTTAAAAAAAAAAGGTTTTTGTTCCCATTGATTCTGCATTGGGAGTCACTAAGTGAAATGGGGACTATAGTAAAGTGATGTATGGATGAAATAAACAGACAAACACATAACCTTTTATCCGGTTCGCCTGATTCGCCAGTTGCAGCCCTTTCTGGATCGGGACACCTTGTGCACGATCACACACGCCCTTGTCACCTCCCGGCTGGACTACTGTAATGCTCTCTACATGGGGCTCCCCTTGAAGAGCACTCGGAGGCTCCAGCTAGTCCAGAATGTGGCTGCGCGGGTGGTTATGGGTGCAACCTGTTGTGCCCACGTGACACCCCTCCTGCGCAAGCTGCACTGGCTCCTAGTGGTCTTCCGGGTGCGATTCAAGGTGTTGGTTACCACCTTTAAAGCGCTCCATGGCATGGGACCGGGCACCTTCGAGACCGACTTCTGCCACCAATAGCCTCCCACCGGCCAGTTCACTCCCACAGAGAGGGTCTCCTCAGGGTGCCATCGGCCAAGTTATGTCGGCTGGCGACACCCAGGGGGGGGGGCCTTCTCTGTGAGAGCCCCAGCCCTGTGGAATGAACTGCCCCCGGAAATACGTAAGATCTCCGACCTCTGGGTATTTCGTTGTGCACTCAAGACCCTGTTGTTCCGCCAGGCTGGGCTATCAACATAACAATTTTAAATTGGGTTTTAAATTCTTGGGGTTTAAAATTGAGCCGAATTCATTTAATAATTTTAAATTATTTTAATTGATGTTGTCTTGTATTTTTAATAGACTGTACACGGCCCTGAGTCCTTTGGGAGAAGGGCGGTATAGAAATAAAATTATTTATTTATTTATTTATTTTATTTATAAATAAGATAATTTATTGCACTTACTTTATTTACTTTTAGGCTTTAGAGAAGGAAACCTATGGGGTTTTGAATCTTTCAGATCCTGAACCCCTCTCTTTCAGCACACCCTTTGGGAATTTTTGAGCTTGACATTTCTGAACCCTAGAAAGAAAGTAACAGTTGTGGGGGTAATTGAAGGTATTTTTCTTCTAAGGATATCTCTTTCTTATATTGGAGCAACAATCTAATAATTTTATGTTCTTGGATGTGATCTTAAGCACAGAACGTAACTTTCATCTGTTACTCAGATCTATTTATTTAATCATCATTAGTAGTCTCCAATGAAAACAATACTGCACCATTCTGTTTTACAAGAAAATGCATTACCAGTAATTCTATCTTGAAGACCCAGATATTAAGGTCTTTTCTAAAATAGCATATAACTTAATGTTGCATATGAACTGATAGGGCAAATGCGATAATTTTAAAGAAAGTTTTTGTTGAAATGAATTACTTTGGTATGAAACAAGCAGGAATGTATTGCAGTGCAAACAATCACTTAGGCTGATCCATTTTTTCTGCTTGAACCATGTTCAAATTTTACAGGTATTATTGCCCATAATTTAAGAAATAAAAATCCAAACAGGACTATTTAATTTTATTCATTAAATAATCTTATTTAATACCAAATAATTGGAATTGTTCCAGTCAAACAATATGTCTGATATAAAGGCATCAAGATAAAAGTAAGTTGTATGTCAGATACAATATATATAAAAAGACAAACAATCATATAATACTTCCAAATGACTACTTGTCCTTAATAGTTTGGGGCTATTCACATATTTCTTGGTACTTGTTCATATAAGCATAGCCATGTTTAGTTTGAATAATAGGTTCATTATGAAATCACATTTGATTGACTAACACTGACATCAAGTTAATGTTAATTCTTAGTGGCCACATTGATAGGATGATCTCTAGGATGATCTGTCCACTTCAGGTCTACCAATGGTGCATCTATTGCTTCTGAAATCAAGTACAGGTAGTCCTCAATTTATGACCCAAACAATTGAGCCCAAAATTTATGTTGCTAAGTGAGAAATTTGTTAAGCAAGTTTTGTCCCATTTTATGACTTTTCTTGCCACACTTGTTAAGTGAATCACTGCAGTTGTTAAATTAGTAACATGGTTGTAAAGTGAATCTGGTTTTCCCATTGACTTTGCTTGTCAGAAGGTTGCAAAAGGTGATCACATGACCCTAGAACACTGCAACCATCATAAATGTGAGTCAGTTGTCAAGCATCCGAATGTAAATCATATAACCACAAGGATACTGCAATGGTCATAAGTCTGAAAAATGGTCATAAATCACTTTTTCAGTGCCATTGTAACTTCAAACGGTCACTAAGTGAACTGTTGTAATTCAAGGACTACCTGTACATTCATCTTGATGCTGGTTGTCTGTGCACCATCTCTACATCTTCTCTTCTACCTCTCCCAGCATTAGGGATTTCACAAGGAAGGCAAATCTTTGTATAATTTAAACCTGGTCATTTGTGCCTGTGTGAGAACTCAGATCAACTCAAGTGATTTGATTTATAATTTATTTGGTTGTATTGGGGCTATCCGTGGTATTTTTAAGAGTCTTCTCCAACACCAAAGTTTAGAACTTTCAATTCTCTTATCTGGCTTCTTCAACTTTCACTTCCATGAAGCATCATAGGGAAAAAATTGCCTCCACGATTCTGATTTTTTTTTATAGGTTTAACACATCATAGCATTTGAATATCTTTTCCAAGACTTCCACTGCTACTCTGCCAATTGCTGGTCTGCGATGTATTTCTTTTTAAAAAATATTTAAAATGGGTGGGGTTTTTTTCGAAACGGGGAAAATACACAAGGGGGGGGGGGAGAAAAAAATGTTGATGCAGAGAAAATGTAGGTAGACAAAAGAAGTTACCAAAATCATACCATTACTGCTCAGGATATTATGTCTCCTCTGGAAGGAAGCTGGTACTGTGGTGATTCTGTGTGGCTATGTGGATGCCTGCATCAGCGCTCACTCCTGTGCAGGTCTGCCTTATGTTTGCCGTCTGCAAGAGTTTTACTCTGCGCATCCCTTTTCCTGGTCCCGTTCTCCTCACTGTTTGTTGTGGGTGGGTGGGGGGTTGCATCTCTGCGCCCGAGGCGAGTGCAGAGAGTGAGCTAAGGAGGGGGTGGGAGAGGTGGAGCCAAGGCTGCTCCTGCCATCTGGGATTGATGGATGAGTGCTCCTTCTGTGTGTGTGTGTGCCTGCGTGTGCGTGTGTGTATTTGAGCGAGAGAGAGAGGAAGGGAGAGCCCGTTCGCCCGTGCCCCGAGTTCCGCGTTCCGGACGCGCAAAGGCGCGACAGAACCTGGCATCCTTCGCTTTCGTCAGACACAACGAGCTGCTCCACGCCGCGCCAGCTCAACGCGCCGCTGCGAGATAATGTGCGGGGCAGCTCCTCGTTAGCAGGCTTGCCCAGGCAGGCGGCATGGCTCCGAAGCGGCGAGCGGGGTCCGGCGGCGTGTGGCTGCGCCTCTTGGCCTGGGCGGCCGTTTGCCGCGTCCGGGCGAGCGCTTGCCCCACACCGTGCGCCTGCAGCGGCACCACGGTAGACTGTCACGGGCTGGGGCTCCGCGCTATTCCTAAGAACATCCCGAGGAGCGCAGAGAGGCTGTAAGTGTCGCCTGACTGAGGGGACGCGCCGCCGCACTGGGAATGCTTGCGGCTTTACGGGGCCCCGAAGGGCCACTTGGGAGGCGTGTGTTTGGCGCGTTTCGCCGGCGCCCGCGGGATCTCCTCAAACGCTGGTCGTCGCGCTTCCCCTCCCGCCCCTGACAAAGGAGCCCAGCCGCACTCGGACGCTTAGGACGCCTCGCTCCGGGACGCGCTCTCACGGTCCCGGAGGCGGCCGAGACAAAGGTCCCTCTGGGGAAGTCGGAATGCGGGGTGGAAGTTGAGCCAGACTCGGGCAAGCGTCCGATTCCGAGCGTTCCTCTGAGGCTTCGGGAACAATCCCTCGGTTTGCCTTTGTTAGGCAGCCGTGGCGCGCTCCCGTGCGGCTATGCCCCCCTCTCAAACCTCCGGGTCTGCACGAAGCAGGAGCCTCCCGCCCTCCCCTTCGGCAGCCGCGGGGCAGCGGGTCGGGTCGGCTGAGGAGCGGCGGCTCCCGCTGGGCGCAGACTCGGGATCGCGTTTCCCTCCGCGGCGAATAGCGCAGAGATCCCCCGCTAGGCAACTTTCTTGTCCCTCCAGCTTGGTTGTTCGGGGATATTCTGTGTGTGTTTGTGTGTAGGAGGGGGCGTGTGTGTGTGTGTGTGTGCTAGGTTGTGCGTTCGCAAGGCGGGTGTGAACCTTCTGGGGGCCGGCTGGGGCTGGTTATTTCCCAGAGCTTTCCACGAAAACTGTTGTCTGGGGCTACCTCAGATGTGTGGAGCTCCAATGGGGATAAAGGGAGCTTTTCACCCAATGCACCCAAAGGGCACCAGGCTGGGGAAAACGGAGCTGCAGAGATAACCTGCTTTGGAAGGAGGGTGGGAATGGGGAGATTTTGTGGAAATGGGAGAGGAGGAGGAGGAGGATTTGAAGCCGGCGTTTACATGGCTGGAACTGGCTGCCGTCATCCTACCGCTCTCTGCCCTTTTGTAAATATCCTTTCTGAGTTGGTTGCAAACCTCTTCGGCAGGCAAACGTATGGCTAGAATGTATCTGGGTTGTATGGAGACTGCAGCAAATACGCAGGGGCTCAAAACTAAATGGTGGTTGTGGGACGGGCGCTTCTCCTTCCTAATGAGCCTGCAAGGCTTAAGGGCACTACCCTCCACACAGTCCCAGTTAGCTCCCTTCCCCCTCCTTTCAGCAGTTTAACTAGGGCTGTAGGAAAGCAAGAGGAAACTAATTGGGGAGATAACTAATTCTGTGGCTCAATGAAACCCATTTCGGCTTCTTACTAGTTGCCTGAAACATTAGCAAATAAAGGAGAAATCAGGTGGGCATCTTTGATCTCTGTTGCTTGTGAAATTCTTCAGAATAAGTTAGTGATGATAGAACTATTAAGGCTCATTCATAGCAGCCTCATTTGCTCTGCTGATTAGAATGACCCCTATGTTTCTGCAGCTTGAAGGTGACCGCTACTTTGGAGGGGGTGCAAAGGGAAGTAAAGGTGGAAGGCATATTAAATAATTCATTAGAAAGTGCAACGCTGGATTGTGCAGTTTAGGCAGGGGAGGAGGACAAGTGGGCAAGGTGGAGTCACTGCTACTGTGCAGAATATTGCCTCTCATACTTCTTGTGGTTTCTCTTTGAGAACTAGTTGAAACTCTATGGATGGTTAATGATTAAAGTCTGGTAGAAAGAACTGATACCCCGTTCAGACCCCCCAAGCTCCATGTTGTCCGTTCTTCACTTCCTGCCAGTTCTGCATCCATCCCTGGGTCTCAAAGCTTCAATCCACCACTCTTCCAAAGTCTCCTGCTCCCCCACCCCCAAGAATTGCGTGTCCTGAAGCCAGATAGATGGTATGCTGCTTGGTGCAATGGATATACTTTTATAGATTTAAGCATAAGGTAACCTAGTAGAGAATGAAAATGGGCTTAAAATATTCCAAGGCAAGGTTTGTATGAGCAAAAAGTGAAGCAGAAGCAAAGGGGAGGGACTCCCCTTGCTGGGCAGAGCAACGGTTACACCTGACGTGAATGATACAAACAGCAGCGCAATGAACATTTCATTTGATATGGTAGCATTGCGGCATTCTGGTGAGATTTATACTTTGGAAAGTGACTAAGGGTGGACTTTCACAGCAAGCAGGTGACTTTCCTCCCTTTAGCTGCTTACTTCCTAGCTTGAGCTTTGTTCCCTCTGTGCTCATCAAAGCCAGATGTGGGGGTATAATCCATCCTTCTGGAGACTGAAATGAGACAGTCCAGTGACAGTTACAGCCTCCCCTACCAGGACTTACAGCTGCTATGGGCTGGAAGTAGCCATATTCTAGGCTTTGAGGATGCCTGGCCTGTTGTGCATCTGGAGGATCATGTACAGGGCGACCCACCCCTCCTATTGTTGTTCCTCCTACAAACCAATTAATGTTCTCAGATTAAGCCTAATTAGGTCATACGCCCATGGACACCTCTGTGCACAACAAAGCAGTCTTGGTGAACTCTCCTAGCAGCCCTGCGTGATGTCTTCTTTAATGGCATTTCCTTCTTTGGCACCTTAATTGCCCTCACTGAAGTCATTATTATGCCTGAGCCATAAGGAGCTGCTTGGGGAGCATAGATGAATGGAATCTGCCCATCACCTGGCATGTGCGGGATCCTCACATACAAGATTCTGCTCTTAAATGGCATAATACCAAGAATGGGTACCATGCTGTGCTGACAAGAGGCATCTAGTTTGTTACTTACAGTTGCAATGCTGTCATTTCTTGTAACTCTTGCTTGCTCACGTCAAAACTGGCAGAGGAGGAATGCAATGGTTTCAGGAATACTTTCTGAATTTATGGATAATATGAACACCCTCCTCCTCCTCCTCCTCCTCCTCCTCCTCCTCCTCCTCCTCCTCCTCCTCCTCCTCCTCCTCCTCCTCCTCCTCCTCTGTATCCTGAGACATACAGGGATTGATAGCATATGTTATATAGATCTCCTTGTTTAAAGGGGAATTGTGTTCAGGAAAAATTACTCCTACTCCTATATCTACTCCTACTATTATAAAAAGTACTATACAGGTTTTAAAATGCTCCCATCATCTGACCAATTAAAGTCCAAGCACTTGTTTAGTTAACCCTGGGTACTAATTCTGTTGGTCCAACAATCGAAATATGTGAGAGGAAAATAATCTATTATAGCTGTTTATTATGCTGCACTCTTTATTTTTAGACTTCCAAAGAACCTTTAGTACAGTGCAGTTCATGGAGTGATACACAGCTATCTGTACAGATATGTTTTACTTTATTATTTTAAGCAAAAGCAAATGTAAGAAGGAGTCAGGTTGCTAGACTGCTAATTCTGTTAGGGCTGTTTCACATTTTATATATGGAAATGGGATGGCTGATGTAAATTATGAATTTGGTGATCATACACATAGCCAGAAGCAATTCCTGGGATGATAGTGACACTTTCCTGGCTTCAGTAATTGATGCTGGTTGTATCTGCAAATGCTTGCTTGGAAAGTTATAACTTCTATATGAATTCATACAGTACTTGGAAAGAATACAGATGTTCATATAAAGCAGAAAATGTGCTATGGAAATTGGTTTTGCTCTGATGCTTAATGCCTTGCTAAGAATAAAGTAATGCCTCAATTCAGACTTTATGCTTAATGAAAATCAAGGTTTAAAATGACATCCAAACTATGGAATCCTTGATGTTCTCCGAGCTTGGTTGTATGCTTGGAGACATTTCATTACTGAAGTAATGTGAGTCACACTCATCAGTGTGAGTGAGTGTGATGTTTACTCTCTGTTTATATAGAGTACTTGTCCTGCCTGTTTTAGTGGGGGGGGGGGGTTTCTCCTTGGTAGTTCCTTGATTAGGGTTTTATTTTCCACCTGATTGTTGGCTTGATGTTAATCCCTGCTTATCTGGGTATTGGCTACTGGAGGGGATGTATTCCAGTCTTTTTGTTTTTTTTCTGAGCATTTATATTGTCTATTTTGAATTGTATGCAAATACAGTTTATTTCTGTATGTCAATTGTTGGCTGATTTGTCTGAATACCAAACTTCCAGGAATTCCCCAGCATTTTTATTTATTTATTTAGCTTGGTCTAGGATGCTCACCTTTTCCAGTTAAATTAAGGTTGGGTCTGTTTATCTATTGTGAGACTAAGGAGTTTTCATTGTGTCTTCTGACTGTTAGCTGGTGTTCATGGATGCATTTTACTAGTCTTCTGCCTTTTATTGGATGTCTTCTTTTCTAATATTTTCTTCTATTAGATGTTCAAACTGAAAACCATTTATTTTTAATTGTCTACCAAGGCACAAGAAGAAATAATGTACTAATAGAATTTGATAAGATATCCAAATAAGCAAATCATACCTAAATGATATTTGTATGCTGCTCTATGGAGACAAGAGTGAGTCAGGAATTTATGAAGCAATCATTGTAAAAACAGAAAAAACATTCTTACTCTTTCTGCATGTGTGATGTTCAAAACAGTAATTTGAATTCTAAATGATAGCACGTTTGTGTAATACCTGAATTGATCCAACGTATCTTTCTAACTCTGCGGCAAGGTTAGGGTTAGGGTAAGCTGCAAGTAGGACCAACTTGAGATATTTTATGTGAAGCAAACAGCAAATGATAAGCATTTTGAAGCCAAGTACAGAGTATCCAGCTCAGGTTAAATTAGTGTGAAACCTTTAGCAGTAAATTCTACAAGTATCTCTTTCCCTCTCTAGTATTTTCTTCTTCTTCTTCTTAGTGTTTTTCCTACGAGTGCAGGGTTCACATTTTTTTGCAGGAAGGTATGAAATCAACCATGTGTTCATCCATTGGTTGCCCCAGGAGTTGACTGATTGGCTTGTCACCAAGCCTGACATTGTGTGCTGAGACAGAGTGATTAGCCCAAAGACATCCAGCTGGCTTTTATGCTTAAGGCACGACTAGTGCTCACAGTCTTCCAGTTTCTAGCTTGATGCCTTAACTACTAGACCATACTGGCTCACATTCCCTCTCTAAT